ACACACACCACATTCCCTCGGGACACTCTCTCTCCTCTTGTCAGCCTCCAATTCTTTCATCATCTCCCAGTCTTTGTTTGCTCTAAGCATGCTGTATGGGGTCTGTGGCAAGGTGCGTAATGGATAATGCTTAGCAGTTTGGGCTTTGCAGTCAACCAAACTGACTTCATTGCCCTCCTTAGCCTAATACATAACACAGTAATGAATAAAAATATGTAGAACCTGACCTTTCTCCTTTCTTTCTCTGTGGCTCTCTTAGCAACTGACCAGACATTAACGGGGATGTCTCAGGGTTTCTGAATACAGCCCTTTCCCTGGGACAGCTTACAGCTTTATCTGCACAGCAGGTCAGAAATATTAACCAGATAGAGAAGCAAAACCAACTAGCAAGGAGTGCCTGCCCCATGTTCGGGACTGCCTGACGTGCACACAGGTAAGCTGCCTGTCAGCACAGGGATAGTCTTCTTTCAAATTGAATCAACATAAGCCCCATCCACACTCTTTCAAGTTTGATAAGAATTACAAGGGGAGCCAGAATCCCCTGTAGCTCTGCATGGAGGCTCTTAACAAACTTCTGTCCACAATTCATCTTCCACTATGATGGGGTGGAGCTGGTTGATAGCTAGTACATCAGAGCAGTGGGTAGGCTTTCCAGGTTAAATGAGAACAAGAACAGTGCCCCGCCCCAACCCTTCCTACCTTCTCCCACAACATTCAAGCTAACTGAATATGTGGGAATAAGTTCCGGCAACTCTGTGCACACCCTACCACTCCTGAGCCATTCACGTTAACTGACAGCATGGAAATGGTTCCAGAGGCTCCTCCCAACTGGTCCTTCTGCACTACTTTGGATAATTAACTATAGAGAAACTCTGAACTCCAGCAGCTCCCTTCCCACCTCCTGACACTTAGTTAACTGAATGTTTTGTAGTTTGCACTGAAACTTTGTATTATGCAACTCTCGGTCTGATTGGAAGATGAGAGCTTAAAAACTGCAGTGGGCCCAGTGCAATAGCTTAGAGGCTAAAGTCCTCGGTTTGAACGCACCAGGATCCCATATGGGCTCCAATTTTGGTCCCAGTGGCCCCACTTCCCATCCAGCTCCCTGCATGTGGCCTGGGATGGCAGTGGAGAATGGCCCAAAGCCTTGGGACCCTGCACCCGTGTGGGAGACCTGGAGAGGAAACTCCTAGCTCCTGGCTTCAGATTGGCTTGGTTCCAGCCATTGCAGCTGCTTGGGGAGTGAACCATCAGAAGGAAGATCTTCCTCTTTGTCTCTCCTCCTCTCTGTATATCTATCTGTTTTTCCAATTAAAAAAAAAAAAGCTGCAGTGTAGTGGCTTCTGGGGTATAGTGGGAGATGCTTGTGCCATGTTTGGCCAATAAATGTCCTCCTAACATTCTACACTTGTGTTTGGTGTGATCTCTCTCACACTCTACAACATCATTGCCACTCCATTCTTCCATTTCTGTTTTTCTTCTTCTTCTTTTTTAATCACACCACTTTGGGAACACTGCTTTCCCCAATTTCTATAAAAAACAAAAACAAATGGGCTGGCGTGCTGGCATATCACGCTAATCCTCCACCTGTGGAGCCAGCATCCCATATGGATGCTGATGAGTCCCAGCTGCTCCACTTCCAATCTAGCTCCCTGCTAATGCCCTGGGAATGCAGTAGAGAACAGATCAAGTCGTTGGGCCCCTGCATCCACACTGGAGACTCAGAAGAAGCTCCTGGCTTTGGGCTGTTGTAGCTCCAGCCATTGCAGCATTTGAAGAGTAAACCAGTAGAGACAGGATCTGTGTGTATATCTCCTTCTCTCTCCATAAATCTGCCTTTCCAATAAAAATAAGTCTTTAATTAAGAGAAACAAAAACAAAACAATTCACATGAAGGATTTGTGCAAATAACAATCTTTCACAGTGTGAGTACATGGAGGGGTATGTATTACAGTATCATTACCAAGCAAAACCTGATTGCTAGGTATCCCAGGATTTAAAAGTCCTTGGCTACAGTGCGATTTGGGATTTCTCTGGAAGCCCCCACATTTGGCCATGGACCTACTCTTGCTCCTTCTTTCCTTTCCCATCTCTTTTCTGCACCAACCTAGATTCATGTTCACGTCTCATGAAGAGCAGTTTTGCTACCTGTGTGTTGTTACAGTCCTTTCTTTCAGAGCTTGCCTTCTTGCCCCCAATTGGGTTATCAGAATATTTTCCTCTAAAATAAGAAAATATATATCCTGCTAAGCCAGTTGGGGGTGAGAAGGCCAAGTGTGAAAGGGTCTGTTCCCTTTTTAAGACAATTTTTGCAGTCAACTAATGATATAATCATTGCATCACCCTATCCTCTATAAAAATACTATCACTGATAATCCCACCCCACATGAAGTAGGGTTAGTATAATCATTTCATACATGGGTAAAGCGGGGCTGTAGAAGCCCGCTGCTGGCACCTAAACAGCTAGATCTCAAATTCTGCTCTTCTAACTCCAATGCTAGCATTCTCCCTTCTGTGCAAGGGTGTTTGTTGCAGAGGAACACACCAGAAATAGTTACACAGTGCACTCCAGACAATTAGACAACAAATAGAGCATGGGAGAGAGTTGAAGATACTGTTGGCAGGTAAAAGGTTCACTGACCAGAGTAAGGGCCTGGCAGCTGCCGTCAACCCACTCTGTCAGGGCAGCACAAAAGCCAACTGAGCTGAGCCATCAGTCGGCAGCAAAATCACAGGCCCCTCTCCCACTTCAGATTCACTAGGGCAAAGGATTCCTGAATTGTTTAGGAGACACTTTTATTAAATATGAACCAGCCATCCCATTAGGGGTTTTATTAAAGGCAAATTAACTTGGTCATCTCACAGCAAAGTAAAAAAAAAAAAAGTTACTTTTAAGGTGTTCAACTGAGAGTCCAGCAAACTAAAACTAGCAAACTGAGTCTCTGAGAACTGAAGTCCCTTGGCTGGGCTCCATACAGACCACACCTACACAAAGTAGGTGGCAGAAGGCAGACTCCAGCTACACGCCTGTCAGCTGCCTTCCACTGAAAATCAACAGGAACACCCCTAGGGTTGATCCAGCTGGATAGTTTTGTATCTTGCAGCAAAGGTAAACATCCCCCACCATTCTCAGTGAGTTTGCCCTCACAGCAAGGAGCAATAAACCCAACTCATCCAAGCAGAGCTGTGCCGAGTGGAGGGCGCTGACCAAACAGAAAATACACTGAGACTTGACAGAAACAGTGGCTACCTTGGACACAGACCTTCCACTTAGTGATAGTGACCACATCTAAGATTCCTTGCAGCTGCCTGTTTGAGGTGCCCAGCTGTCCCACAGTGTGAGGTAAATTTACATTGAGCTGAACTCATTAAAGCCCATTAGTCTGGATTTATTTTGTTTTTCTAGGAATGGGATCCTTTGGGTATTGGTTATCTGATCAAATATGTTTCTTGGTGAAATTGCTTTCTAGCCCTCCAACAATTGCTCCCCCAGTGTTTCTCCTTGGCTAACATCTTTATATTTGTTTATGAAAGTCTATTGGACATGGATAGGCATAACTCAATAAGCTTCTCTTTGAGCTACCTGTGGGGACTGGGGGCTTCATGAGGTCTCCTGAGACCACTGTCCTTGCTGTCTCTGTGTCCAAGAGACCCTGTTTCACACAGAGGACTTTCAACTTTGGTTACACTGTGGAGATACAAGGTTCACCTCTTCACGGATCTCTTAAGTTTTCAATGTATTTTCCAGCCTGAACACTTGCTTCCTTCACATCCTCATCACCATACTAACTTGGCCACTTATCCTCTTGTACAGTTTCACCAGGATCCATTCAAAACCACATGCAAAAACTGGAGCTAGGGGCAGACCTGGTGGGGGTTATTGGAATTTGATCCCATAAGGCCATGACATTTACTGGTATGCTGAGGTCTGGACTGTGGCTGGCTGGGCTGGGCTAGGCTGCAGCACACATCACTTTGCATGAGAGATGGGGTTGGGAGCAGAACTGATCACACAGCTGCATCCACCAGTATGTGTGTTGGCTGGTGCGGGTGACAGACTGAAACAGACCCTGCAATAGCTGGTACACAAAACAGTCAAGACTGAGATCAAACCAGGTAAGGTTTCTTGGGGGATACTCCAATTAGATCAGTGGACTCAAATCCTAGCCACAGGGAAAATCACAAGATAGGAGGTCTGACATTGGAGTACATGTATCAGGACTGGGCATCTTCAGTTGCTGATCCCTGTACAGTGGACAGCATGCCCAGATACATGACAGTCAGCTTATGTAGGCCAGCAGAGGACATGAAGTACCATTTCAGAGGATGGAAAGCAAAACAGGTTGGAACAGGACAGCTCTCCTGGCCAAGCTTTGCAGCAAGTGTCTGAGTCTGTGGATTTACTAAGGTGAACCCAACAAACTTTGGAAGGATTTTCTTGGTCTGGTGCAACAAGGCCGACAACATCGAAGAACTATTAAAACCACTGAAGTAACACCCTTGGAACATTCTTCCCCACATGGGGATTTTTAAGGAATCATCAAATGATCATGCCGTTCCCAGGTGCTGATGTAGTTTGACAGCAAGGAGCAGCCCCCTCCCCTTCCCCTTTGCGGACACAGAAAAAAAAATTTAAAGAACTGAAATATCCACCTTCCTTTCTCCCTCATCCTGCTACACCCTAATAGGAGACCCACATGGAAATGCATCTCTCTTAGCTGTGTAAACAATATTAAAAATAAAAATGTATGTACTAAAAATAAAACCCAGTTAAAAAAGAGATCATATGAAAAATTCTTTAGTTGCCATGTATACACACTAAGAAAATAGTCCACATAAAATCAAATTTATATAAAAGAAAAACTTTATTATACTGAATAACTTCTGTATCCCAGACATTATTTTAGCTATGAAAAAAGCAGCAGTTAATAAAAGAAAGGAAGGGGGTAAACCCTTGGCAAAGTGGTCAAGATGTTGCCTGGGATGCCCATGTTCCTTACCAGAATGCCACCTGGCCTTGAGTCCAGATCTTCTATGCATTCCCACTTCCTGCCAGTGCAGATCCTGCGAGACAGCACATGATAAGCAAAGACTACAGATACTGCTATCTAGATTGAGTTTCCAGCTCCTCACAACAGCTTTGCTTAGCCCTGGCTCTTGTGGAATTTGGGAAGTGAATCTGTGAATGGAAGATCTCTTTCTGTGTGTGTGTGTATGTGTGTGTGCCTGCATTTCAAGTAAAATAAACAAATAAAAATTTAAAAATAAACACAACTGAGAAGCAAGATGGCAGAATAGGGTAAGGACATGTTTAAACAGACTGAAAAACATTAGCCAGTGTGAAGCAGAGAGGGCACATTCCTGTGGGGAGCGGGGTGCTGAAGCCACTGTGGAATTGAGAGGGGCCGTTGCAAGATGGCGGCTGGCCCAGGAGGCAGAGTTGGTCTCACCAGCAGGTAAACAGGAAGTCACCGGGATAGGCTAATGCCCTTGCGGTGATTATGTCATTGCTACTGGCCTATCACGTAGTGCCAAGTGGACCCACGGGGAGAAGTGATTAGTGGAGAACGATATAAAAGTAGCCGGTAAAAGCTAGGCGAGGACGGATGGGGGGACAGACAGACAGACAGACGATTACGACGACGGAGAAATATGGGACAGGGAGAAGAAGGACGGGCTGGAAGAAGGGTGGCAGAGAGAGGGCTGGAAAAGCGGTAGAGAAGTAGTAAGACCTAAGTTTGGGGACAAGAATAGAGAAATGCAGCAGAAAACGGGGACAAGAATGAAGAAGGGCGGCTCAGAGAGGGCTGGAGAAGAGGCAGAGGAAAGCTAAGATCAATGGGGACAGGAGCAGCGGAGAGAAGGATTTAAACATGGCTGGTTTTGGCAGTGACAGATTCCAGGGAATATGAGAGGACAGAATGACAGCAGAGGAGCACCGGGAGATTGACAGACAGCGGAAAGTAGCGGACACAATTGTGTGGTGTTGTAGTAACCAATACCCCAACAGCATTGAGTGAGTGGTGATTTGAACTGCATCAGCAGCCAGAATTCCACCAACAACAAGGTGGGAAGGGGCATTCACTCAGGAGGTGAACCAAGGTGGGAAGGGGCATTCACTCAGGAGGTGAACCAAGATGAAGAACTGCTTGTCCTGATGGTCCGTTTGATTTGGCCAGGAGCAGAGATAGAGTAGCAGGTCCCAGATGGGCAGTGTGGGAACAGGGTGCATTTCACAGCCCAGTCAGCCCCCTCGAGCTGTATTGGATGCCATGTTGTTTAAGGAGGGAAAGCCTAAGGGACAGTACTGTGCATGCACTGAGCTGGGAGTGAACTCATTTCTGACTCAATGAACTGCAACAACGTGGCATCCTACAGGTTCCCCTAAAGATAAGTCCAAGTAGCTCTCCAACCTGATGGTCAGCAGATCAAGAACCCTAGAAATGGCACATCAGGCATCATTTTGTACAGTGTGGAAAAACTTTAAGACGGCAGGGAAAACAGTGAGCTGCACATTCACTGAGTGGGAGCGAACTCACTAAGCTCAGTGCAATGAACTGGTCCTACAGGAAAATAATCCCAACTTTGGCATCATAAGGGTCAAAATGGGTCCATGTGACCCCCAGACATAATGGCGAACAGGTTCCAGCAATATCAGCACCAACAACAACCCAGCTATAGAGGACACCTGGTATTTCCCTAATGCTGGGAACTGCTCCAACTGGAAGTGGGAGAAAGGTTATACAAACAACAGGGCAACCTCAGCACAGTATCACAGGAGGTCGAGAGTGATAAGGCAGGAACTGGGGCTATGGAGATGGTGGAAATCTAACATAAGAACCCAGACCTGGAACTCACTGGAGGGAGTGTCACAAATGACTGCTGTCAAACAAAGAGCCGTGTACCAACCACAATAAGCAAAATCAAACTGTAGACCTGTGGGTGACACAGCTTAGAAACCTGCCCCAAGGAGAAGAATCTGATAACCAGAAGTACAATGACCAAGAACAACAGAAGAGACAAACGCACAATGAATATTACTGATGACTCGCCTGCAAAGGAGCAAAACCCTATGCTAACCCCAGAGTTAACTGAGGAATACATGGGGAAAACGGAGGATACACAATTGAAACACTTGTTATAAAGCTTCTTATAAACAACGAGAAGCATGTAAAGCAGGAGCTCAAGAAATTTAAGGAACATGCCACACAGGAAATGAGTCAAGTGAAAGCTGATATATCAGAAATGAAGAATACAGTAGAGCAAATTAAAAGTACAGTGGAGAGTCTCCAAAACAGAATGAAGGAAGCAGAAGAAAGAATCTCAGAATTGGAAGATATTTCCTGTCATGAGGGGGAAGCAAACAAAAAGCTGGAAGCAGAGCTGGATCAGGCCAATAAAAGTATTCAAGAATTAAAAGACACTATTAAAAGGCCAAATATAAGAGTTATAGGAATCCCGGAAGCCTCAGAAAGAGAAGCTGGAATTAAAGGTGTATTCAGTGAAATAATACACAGGGCATGGCGCGGTGGCGCAGTGGTTAAGGTCCTCGCCTAGCAAGCCCGGGATCCCATATGGGCGCCGGTTCTATCCCAGCAGCCCCGCTTCCCTTCCAGCTCCCTGCCTGTGGCCTGGGAAAGCAGTCAAGGATGGCCCAAAGCTTTGGGACCCTGCACCTGTGTGGGAGACCTAGAAGAGGCTCCTGGCTTCGGATCGGCATAGCATGGGCCGTTGCGTTCACTTGGGGAGTGAATCATTGGACGGAAGATCTTCCTCTCTGTCTCTCCTCTGTATATATCTGCCTTTCCAATAAAAAAATAATAAAAATAAATCTAAAAATAAATAAATAAATAATAAAAAAAAGAAATAATACACAAAAACTTCCCTAATCTAGAGAAAGAATTGGGAAACAACATTCAGGAGGGGCACAGAACTCCCAACAGACTTGACCAAAAGCGATCTTTACCATGACACATGATCATCAAGCTCTCTTCAATTAAACATAAGGAAAAGATCCTTAAATGTGTCCATGAAAAAAATCAATTGATATATAAAGGAATGCCAATTAAACTCACAGGAGATCTCTCACAGGAAACTCTACAGGCGAGAAGAGAATGGAGTGACATATTCCAGAATGTAAAAGCAAATAATTATTGGCTCAAGATAATATACCCAGTAAAGCTTTCCTTTGTCTTTGAAAATGAAATAAAATTCTTCCATAGTAAAGAAAAGTTAAAAGAATACGCCTCTTCTAAACTTACCGTACAAATGATACTTAAAGATGTTCTCTTGACAAAGAAAAGGAATAGTGCCTACCAAAACCAAAGGCAAATGGGAAGAACATCCCAGTAAAATAACAACAGGAGACTAAATCAATGACTCCCCGCATGGTCCATGCCCACAATGAAGGAATCATGATCTGTACTACTGTAACAATACAAAGGAATTCAATATGGGGGAGGGGTTGGGGGAATCCCAGAGCCTATGAAACTGTGTCATAACATAAAATAAAAATAAAAAAAGAAGAACCCATTGCAAAAATTACAGGACCAAATTACACCCATTCATATTAACCCTGAATGTAAATGGCTTCAACTCATCAATCAAACATCATAGATTAGTAGACTGGATTAAAAAAAAAACCCAGCTATTTGTTGCCTACAGAAGACATATCACACCAACAAAGAAAACTATGTCTCATGGATTTTGATGTTTTTTTATTTAGTTTTATCTTTTCAAAACACTTTCTCATTAAATTCTTCACTGACTCATAGACAATACAGTAGCATCATTTTCTTCAAGAAGTTTCTTGATTTTTTCGTTTATTCAGCAACACTTTAGTCATTCAGTAGCATGTTGTTTAACTTCATAGTGTTGTAATTTCGTCTTTTCTTTCTGTTGATTTTGTTTTGTGGCTTTTCCTTTAAGGGGATGTATAGTAACTGTGTAATGGAGACTAGCATATCCAGATGTGAGGATACAATTCATCTCTACTTCCAGACAAAGATGGACTCTCAATGAAACTGTTTACTATATCTTGACAATAGGATTCTGGACTCTTTGCCATTGTTTATGCCTGCAACGATGGACATATGACTGTGTATGAAGAACTATACTATAGTAAAGATATAGGGGGACTCAGTTGGGAGGGATTTGGGAAGGGGATAAGAGAAATCCCAGGGCCTATGAAACTGTATCATAAAATGATAATAATAATTTTTTAAAGTAAAAAAATACAATTGTAAAAGTATGTGTAGGGAATGGCACAGCAGCACAACACATTAACCTTCCTCCTGTAATGCCAGTATCCCACATGGCCATCGATTTGTGTCCTGGCTGCTCCACTTCCCATCCAGCTCCCAGCTTGTAGCCTGGGAAAGCAGTGGAATATGGCTCAAAGCCTTGGGACCCTGCACTTGCATGGGAGACCCCACTGGGGCTTCTGGCTCTTTGCCTCAAATAGGCTCAGCTCAGGCTTCTCTTTTTGAATCTGCATTTCCAATAAAAATAACAAATCTTTAGAACATATATATTTGAAGATCAAAGTCACAGAAAGAGGGACACACACTTACAGACTGATCTTCCATATGGGTGTTTGGGGCTCATTCACTTGGACCAAACTCTGCTGCCTTTTCCAGTCCATAAGCAGAAGCCAGTACTAGGCTCACAGTGCTGAGCCACTGCGGCATGTTAGGACAATCTTTGAAGCGTCCCTGAAAGTCTGTGGAGGGTATGACGAATTCCCTGGCAGAGGGAGCTATTGTAAGTTTTCCTTCTGCAAATAGGTGAAGAAGCAGGACTGTGCTTAGAAGGTCAAATGACAGGTGGTATGAAAGACAAAGCAGTGATATGTCCTAGGAAGTTAGGCAAATAACTATAAGGTGGTGAGCAGGTCTTGTCCATAGAAGAGTCTGCACAGCATAGAGGATTGTTCAATTTGGTGATGATATAGGACTAAGCTAATGGAAGATTTTACGTGTTGTCACCATTATACCTCTAAACATTTTCATGCAATTAAGTTAGTATCCTTTGATACAATCTTGGAACTTTATAAACAAAAATGCAAGAAAAA